AAGGGGCCGAGCCTCGCATAAAACAGGGCTGTGTGCGAGGAGAAAGGGCTTCGGCGCGGGGGAGACCAGCCTAGGGGGCAGTTCCGAGCCAGCCAGGGAGCGGAGCGATCGCAAGGGCCGGGCAGCGAGACAAAGAGCAGGGAGGACATGAGCGAAGGCGAAGGGAGAGGAGAGGGGACCAGCTGAGCGAAATCACGCAGGAAAAGCTCTTCCCCTCCCGCGCATCCCTAAGCAGCGCAGGGCCAGGTTCCCCCCAACCCCCTTTTGGGCAAGAAGACAAAAGAAACCGGTGGCCTCATGGGGAAAGGCGGGGAGAAAGGAGGGGAGTCGGGGGAGCCGGAACCGCAGATCCGCTTCTACACCTGGGAGGAGATCCAGAAGCACAACCTGAGGACGGACAAGTGGCTGGTGATAGAACGAAAGGTTTATAATGTCACCAACTGGGTACGCAGACACCCGGGGGGTCAACGAGTGATCAGCCACTGCGCCGGAGAAGATGCCACGGTAAGGACCCCCCGCCCAGCCCCGCACCGGCAGCAGCCTCTGACAGGGCGTTGCCTTCCTGGGGCTCCCCGAGAAGTGAGCCAGCTTTTGGGCAGCCGCCTGCCTGCCTCCCTGCCTCTCCCCATCTCTCTCTTTTCTCTCTCGCCTGCTGCTCACCCGGCTCGTCTCTTTTCGGGTGCTTTTAGGAGCGAAAAGCTTGGTCCAAATTGATGCAACTCCTTGGCGATCAGCTCCCTTGAGCCATGGCAAATTCGCAGCGTCTGGAGGAGTGGTTGGTAGAGGTTGCTCGGCTCTGCTTCAGTCCTGCTGTTTTGTCTTTGTGTCTTGTTTGCGCTGTGCCAGGAGCTCGGGAATTCATGAGCCAAGTGTCCCAAGTCTTCCCCTCTTCAGTGTGTAGCTTAGGACACGCAGAGTCACAGCAGCCAAGCACAAGAAAGGGTTAACGAGAGGCCAGTCTGTGTTTCAAAGTTGCTTCTGTGAGGAGGGTGAGCTTGAGGCTTTAAAACAAGGAGCTTTTTAGCTTTTTCCCCAGGAGAGAATGCTCTAGAGAATTTCGTTACAGGTTTCTACAGAAAAGGCAAAAAAACCCCGAGGAAACCATTTGCTGCTGCTACAGCTGCTCCTGCACCTCATAGCTGGGCTGAGCTACCTCTCGTGTTTCAGCAACTTAAAAAACAAACAAACAAAAAAAAAAACCCAACCAAAACCAAAACCCCGAAACAAACCCAACTAAACAAAACCTTGCAAAGGGAACAAATTGCCGCAGAGGTTGTTGCCTGCACTTTCCCTCAAAGCCACCTTCTTCAGCGGTGCATCCAGAGAGCATGTTCTCTCCCCAGGGCATTAGCCCATAGTTAATAAAATTTAAACGCCCTCGGAGCTTTTCCGAATATGTGCATGGTAAGCGGCAGGAGAGACCAAGCTGCAACGTTAACTGTTCGTCTCCCACGGCTCCTAACACCTTAGCGAGGAGGAGGCTCCTTGTGTGGCGGAATTAATTGGCAAGAATTACTAACCTTTCCTTTCCATCCGTCCCCATTCGCCTGTGGGCTGTGGTTATTTTCTTTTCCTTGAAGCCCTGAGATGCATTTTGGTGTTCCTGTCCCTTTCCAATAAATCCTCTGAATGAATAGCTTTCTCCCTCAAAAAGATGGGCCAGGTTTTACTTTCAGCTGCTTGAACACTGGCCTGCTGAATGAAACCGGAGGAGTTTGACTCCTGTCCCCGAGAATTTAACTCCAATATCTCTGCTAGAAACCAAAAGGCATCTGCTATTGCATTTGTCTCGGATCCTTACAAGGGAGACTGAAACACAGGTTTGTGATTTTACCGCTGCTGGTCCTCTCACCTCCCCAGCGTACATTGCATCCCACTGAACTCGGAGCACGCCCGATGGTCGTGAGAACGCTCTGAAATTGTTCATCACCACACTGAGCACTAAAACGGAATTGGCACCTGGTTTCCAGCTTGCCTGTGGTAAATAACAGTTTACTGCCAAAAAAATCTCTCTCTCGATCAGGGTGACCCATTGACCCTGTCAAGGCTTAACTAACAAATTTCATTCTGTATTGCAAGATATCACAACTGGAAGAGTTTAGGAGGAAAAGGCAGTGATAAAAAAATCAGTTTAACATGTTTACATTGCTAGTTCGTACATGGCTTCCATCTTCCTCAGGTTCTCCTTAGCACCACTCCTAGTTAGGGCCTCCAGTCCAGCAAACACGCACCAAAGGGACCTCAGCATCTTGTCCACTTCTCTTGGACCAATCCTCCAGAGGCTCATGCGTATCCATCTACCACAAGCTGCCCACTGACGCACTCGCTGAACCCCACATCTATGCCGGGCTACTCTAAAGATACCCTGCTTGGTGACGTGTGAGCTGATTCATCTCAGGATGCTCAGCTAAGGGAGAAGCTTCCATGAGAGCTGTTCAGCATGCTCAGCTCACACCAGCCAGGTGAGGAGCGCCCAGGCTAGCTTACGCACAAATTTCCCCTACAGGTACCAACAGCACTGAGTGTTCCTTCATTTAGGCACTTCAAATGCTCGGGTAACAGCTCATACCTCAACAATACGAAGTGTTTTTCACCAAAAGCAGCTGGAATAATTCCCACTTGCCCCCTTCCCATAAGACACTGAGCTTATTTGGCCACTAGACCACAAAGTTGGGAGGTCAGGGGTAAATATCACGTGGCACTTCCCAGGGACTATCTTTTGCCTTTTGCTTTTTGTTTCACCTAGCACAGAACTGAGGATGATTCCAAAATTCAGGAAGTGTCTTGTGTTCGGGACCTCTAGTAAAGGAGATGCATGAGATAGAGCTAATAAAAAAAGTGATCCTTCCATCACTGTAGCTTTCTGTCTGAGGATGGTAAGAGCACTCAGGAGATGTTATTCTCCCTCCTGCTTGGAGGCTATAGTGAAAAAGCCCGTTCTCTCCACGTGCCAATGACCTGTATGTGTATTACTTCTCAGGGAAGGGAAAACTTTCCTGCTGCCAGTATTTCCTTCATGGCATAGGCTTGCAACAGCAGTGAAGTCTTTGAGTAACATGTGTTTTGACACGCACGATTGCATTTCTGACCAGTTCCCACCTTTACTTTCCATCCCACTCAGAAAGAAGGGAGGCTATTAAGTTCAGAGGCAGAGGAAGAACTCTCCCAGGAGAAGTCATGACAGAGCGTTTATAAGCATGTTCAGAAAACAGCTAGGCTACTGGCAGGGAAGCCTCGGGTAGAAAAAATACCTCCCAGGTGGTCAGGCAGAGGCTGCTGTTCTGAGTCACCCCCACAGTTAATACAACACAAATCAGCAAGATCTCCAGCACGGTGATGGGGCGGTACCTGATCAGACCTCCAAAGACATTTCCCCCCCCCTTAGTTTAAATAATATTGAGTCAACATTCTTTAATGCTTCTTTTGCGTTCACCCTCTCCCTCTTTCCCCTTCTTTGCCTTTTTTCACCCCAGAATTGCAAAACCTTGCAGCAGGTGCGGTGAGCTATTCACCTCCCCACTCATTCCGCTCTTCACTCCTCCTTCCCATCATCTGCAAATTGTACCAGGGAAGGAAACTCACAACCAGACTTAACATTTCAGTGGGTGCAAGTGGAAAACACTACAATAACTAGAGCACTAGTGAAAAAGGCTTAAGGCTGCTCTGCTACCAGTTGTAACCTTGGGCAAGTCCGTCCTTTAGTGTATCATCCCCTCTGCTGAAGGGAGAGGACAGCATGTCATAACCTCAAGCGGGCTGTGAGGGTAACACCTGAGAGGGTGAAGTATCCATAAAAGCAAATTAAATTCCTCGGAGAAGGAACCTGATGATTCAAGACATATTTCTTTGCATGGGGAACTCTTAAACTGCCTGCAGCGCAGGGCTTTGGAAACAGCTTTGCTGGCCCTCGAGTTTTACCCTCATGTTGGCACCAGTGAAGTAACACCAGCCGCTAACCCCACGCAGGCAAAACGCCCCTGCTGGGCGAAGTTTTGCCAGTGATGCAGTCCTCATGAGTGGACCTGGACAAAGTGACCCAAACTTCCCCCTGTGGTAACAGGGATCACTTTATCTCTGAAATTGGTTGCAAAAGGGGGTAGTTTGGGTACTGGCATGACAGCTGAGGTGAGAGTAACTAGGAAATTCTGGTGCTTTACAGAAAAAGTGCACCTCGATTTCATTTCTGGCATTTTGGTTTGCCTCCCCCATTGAAATGACATTCCCCTCCTTACTTCTTCCCCCATAGCCTCTGGCATTTTATGTCTTTTACAATCTTGAAATCATTCCACAGAGTTTTATTTCTCTCCTGCACCTGTAGCTAGCTCTCCTCTCCCCTCACCCCCCTGCCAATGCTGCATCTCTAACTTCTCGTATATCATTTCTTTAAGCCCAAGTTCAATGGCTCAGATCAGCTTTCATGCTCCCCCCCTTACATGCCTCCCACAGCAAAACTTCTGTGGGCAGAGTATTGTTTTAAAGCTCAACCCAAAGTCTTGGAATCGGGTGAAAGTTTCTATTGATTTTGGTGGACTTTGGGACTAAAATTGTTGGCCAGTATTTTTGACCACCAGAGCTAGACTTTTGATGGAGGTCAGCTCCCAGAAGGGTCAGCTGGACACAGTGACCACTGTCCAGACTGCCCTTTCTGTTTAGAGCCAGAAGTGAGATTTTAGTTGGTCCCTGCTATTGTTAGGCAACGGGGCAAAGGTGGAAAAGCTGATGCATGGTACTCCTGACTTCTATTTCTGACTTATTTTCTGGACGAGTCTTAGCACTTCATGGAACTACGTCTTTACAGCTCCCCTAGGTGAATTTCTAGAGTTAACTCCAGTTCTGTGCAGTAAGAAAAGGGCAAGGGCAGAGTAAGGGTTTCTGACCTTCGTCAGCTTTCTGTCCCTACCGCTGTCTTTGGGGTTAAAATTCAAGCCGTGCCATGTGAGATCTCACTATTAGCAGCAGATGCATCAAATATATGCTCCCATCAGGCATCTGTGGGATGTAAGTAGACAAAAACAGGTGGAAAGGGAAAGGATTCCAGAAAAAGAAGAGCCAGGCAAACTCAAGAATGCCAGGATCAAAAAGTCTACAAACAAGGCATTTTCCTTCCACAAGTATTGAAAATATATAGTACTCCAGCCGTGCTCCCTGCTTTTGCAACCTCAGGATTATATGGGATAGGATTCATTTCACAAGTTTCATCAACATTGAGTTTCATCCCTCCATTAGATTCTGTTGCTGAAACTTAATAAGCTATTTATGTCTACTATCCCATGTTGGAGAGACTTCAGTAAAAAGCACCCAACATTCCAGGCATGTGCTGGGTAAAAAATACACAAGCAATCTCGCAAAAGATTAGTGGGCTTCTTCCAGGGACAATCACCTCTATACCACAGCACAGTAGAAACGACAAGAAGCCTTAACACATGTGTTGGTCACTAGAATCTCTTCAAGACTGCTTAGTGTATTTCAGAGTAATGAATAAAGTTGGGTTTTGGCGTAGGTCCCTTTTTGAACAGGGTCCTCGCCACTGCAAAGTTTGATAACAAGCACTTTAAAGCAATTGCTTAAAGTTCTGGCATACAACCGAGGTTTTGGGTTTGTTCCTTTCTAAGACATTTTACTTGGACTTGCATGGAGATAGGCTTATCTAGAGTATGGTTCTAGAATAAAGAAGAGTTAAGGCAGCATTCAGTTACTCATCTTACAGAACAAAAAGAGGGAGGCAGCCTCTGAATTGAAGAGTCACCACTTTTTCCTCAGCTGTGTTAGTGCTCGGATCTACAGGTTTGGCCAAAACATCCAGTAATATGTTTTGTATCTGCAGTCACGTCCAGATTTAGTCACCCCAGTCACCCCCTCTCTTGAACTGCCTCCGACAGCAGACTTTCCAAGGGTATTTATATCCTAGTGGGGATTTGCACAAATTCCTCTCTGCCTACCTTCTAAAGGAATTAACAGGATTTAGGTATTTAGTTGCTTAGAAAAAATTTCTTGAGGTGCCTTTAACCTTTAAAGGTCCCTTCCAGCCCAAACTATTCTATGATTCTGTGATTCACCAGATGTCTAGACGGCATCCCAGATCTCGCCATTCGCTTGCTACTAGATAAGCAGATTCATCAGCCTCTAGTAGAAGTACTGCACTGAACAGCGATGGCAGAGGTGGAAGTCAGCCTGGCCCTCCCTCTTTCACAGTAACGTAGGGGGGAGAACTGCAGAGGACAGTGCTGGCGGTGGGTGGGAAGGGCACAACGAGTAGGAAGCAACAGCTTACTTCAGAATCTCACATCGTTACTCATCTTTCCGCTCCAGGATGCATTCCAGGCCTTCCATATCAATCCCACCTTGGTGAAAAAGTTTCTCAAGCCGTTACTTATTGGAGAGCTTGCTCCAGGGGAACCTAGCCAGGACCGAGGTAAAAATGTGAGTATTTGTCTCCGATCTGGGGGTTATGATGGGTATGTTCCACCTTTTTGGTTGGTTTTTTTTCCTCTCTGGGTGTCCTGCAGGTCAGAGGGAGGCAGACCATAAAGGTCTGAAAAGACTTCCAAACAAGTTGCTCGCCACCTCATCAAGACTTGACACTCTTTCACTGTTTGCTCTGCAGTTCCCTTTGACAGATTACTCCCAAGGAATTATCTCTTTGAGACTCAAACTGGTTTATACTGCTGAGCCCAGTACCAGCAAAGCTCTGGAGAGCAGCCACATTTGTACCATGCACGGCACGAGCAGTAGGCACCTACAGGCGAGGTGAACTAGATATCTCATGTCAGTAACTGGTCCTAAGGAGCAGCAACCCAGCAAGTACCTTTTCCACCCACTCTGCATCCTCGGGGCAGCTCTGTATCCCTCCCAGACTGTCCATTCATTCATTATTCAGGCACAGGGCACGGCATGACTAGCCCTTGCCCCGAAACTCAATCCTGTCCCCTTGTTTGTGACTGGCCATGATTATGATAGATCTGTGTCACTCACAATAGAAGAGACGATGCGAAGGCACATTAACCCAGGAATGCTCGTCACGAATGACTGCACAGTAGCTGACCCACATATTAAATAGACAACGGGTGCTCTGACATTGGGTGCTCATCATCAGAGCTCCGGAATTATGCATAAGTAATAGGACTGAATTATCTCCTTCCCCAGCTGCCCCTTTCACACTTGTAAAGCTGATTCAGATGAGAGTCATCAGCTGATGTAACTCTCAACAGAGCCAGGTAGTGCCGCTGATTCACAGCAGCAGGCTTGGATTACTCTCCTAGCTCGAGGTGCAAAAGGTCAGGACGTGGGCTCAGACCAGCCACGATGTTTATTCATAGGAAAGTGCTGTGAAAAGCCAGAATGTGGGTGAATATGGAGGCAGGTCCTTCTGGAGTAGCCAGCCAATGCAAGAAACAGCCAGAGTCCTTAGCGTGGAACTTAGCCTTCCTTCCTCAGGCTCATTCAGACGTACCTATAAGCTGCACACTGTGTCTTGCATGTCTGTTTTGCAGTCCCAGCTGGTGGAGGATTTTCGGGCCCTGAGGAAGACAGCAGAGGACATGAACTTGTTCAGAGCAAATCCTTTGTTCTTCTCTCTTTGGTTGAGCCATGTTATCGCAATGGAAGTTTTGGCTTGGTTAATGGTTTCATACTTTGGTACTGGCTGGATCTCAACTCTCATCCTCGCCTGCATCCTTGCAACTTCCCAGGTGAGAAGTAGTAGGCTCAGAGCATACTGGCTATGCCAATCACTCGGGTGAAGGCCAACGTGCACTGAACTTTTCATATTAGATTGATTACCAGGGCAAAACAGTCACACCAGTGAAAAATACTCACAACATGCCTGCCACTGTGGTGCCTTCTGGCCACCCCTACCCACTGCTGATTGTGGCTCTCGCATTTTTCTCACGTCTTTAGCCTTTCCTTCCACATGTTGGTGGACTTGGCAGTGTTAGGTTTACAGTTGGACTCGATGATCTTAAGGGTCTTTTCCAACCTGAACGATTCTCTGTTGCCCTCCAGAACAAAACCAGGAATCTTCATCTTCTCACTTCAGTTAACTCCCTCTCTTCCTCACACACACAACTTGCCTTCTATCTCCATTTCCTTTTGTGCTTATCTCTGATTTCAAACAGCTTCTTAACTACTTGATATCCCTTCATCCCAGATCCAGGCAGGGTGGCTACAACATGATTTTGGACACCTCTCTGTCTTTAAGAAGTCTTCCTGGAACCACATCGTCCACAAGTTTGTCATTGGACACATGAAGGTAAAGCATGTTATGGATCCAGGGCACTGTGGAAGCAACTGCAGTCTGTTTGACTATGTTAAATTAGGAAACTGCAGCTCTAAGCCTTTCCCCAGGGAGCAGATGCATAGAGAAGTTAGTGCCCATTGCACATGGAGCTGTGGTGCAGAAGACATAAGAGACCATAATCATAGCTGTTGGAGAACAACAAGCTTCAGTGGAACCACACCAATTGATAGCAGCTGAAGACAAAGCTCATTAAATTGTATAAAACCCTATTTTAACATCCTGTCACATTTTCACTGTGCACTCCACTAAGGTATAATGTTTTTCAAATGCCCCATCCTGCTACATCCCATCCGTTCAAGATGCCTTCAGAACTTCTGTCCTGGGCAAGGTCCAGGGCAGTCCAGGCATTTCAGCATCCAGCTCCAGTAGGAACTTACGGAGGGTGGGACATTGTTTTGCCCATTCTCCCAAAGCCACTTTGTCTTGCCTGGTTCCTCACAGGCAGTAGAGGGAAAGCAGTGTAATAATTGGTAAAGCAGCAAAAGGGTTTAGTGGTGGACTTGGTAGTGTTGGGTTAACGGTTGGACTCGATGATCTTAAAGGTCTTTTCCAATCTAAATGGTTCTATGGTTCCATGACTCAGCCACTAATAACAACTTCACATGTGGGAAGACATGGTGACACACAACTCAGACTGTATTTAGTCCCTGTTCTTTCTATAGGGATGGTCCTTAGCAAGGGCAAACCAACCCTCTGAAACCAGCCGTCTCACAGCAACTGACAGCTTAGCCCCTTGCTGCTTATTGCTGTTTCAAAAGCAATTAACATTTTGGCCATAATTGGGTTGCACTGGTTTAGGTAATATGAATGAATGGGTAATCTTACCATTAGAAGAACTGTGGTTTTCCATGGGTGAACTCCTTATTCTTGTATCTGCCCAGGGTGCCTCTGCAAACTGGTGGAACCATCGTCACTTCCAACACCATGCCAAACCCAATATCTTCCAGAAGGACCCAGATGTGAACATGCTGCATATTTTTGTCCTTGGAAATACGCAGCCTGTTGAGGTAAGGCAAAGTGGGTAAAACATGGAAAACCATTGTCCTAAAGGGCTTCAGAGAATGCTGGTGCAAAACCAGGAGTCAGCTAGTATTGGTAGACGTGATTTACACAGTCAAGATTTCCAGGAATCCTAAACAAGGCAATGCTTCATCCAGGATCTCATCTCTCTGTGTTGTCTGACCTGAGTTTGGCCACCACACCCTCCCAAACCTTGGGCTGAAGAGCCAGGCTGACAATATAATTCCCTATCCAATTCCTATACTGACCACAGGAGAAAGTGTTTTGGGGTAGCTTGGGAAAAGCAATGAAGATGGGATTGGAAAGAAAGTAGGAAGCCATTAAAGACAGCTTCATCCTGCTGGCTTGAAGTATCAACAGGAGGGGAAAATATGGTGTTCCTCAGTACTTCATCAAGAACATTTCAAAACTGATCTTCCATTTCCAAATAAAATACCTTCCAATATTAGTCAGTCCAGCAGTGCCCCAGACAAGGTCCTCTCCACTGAAGCCTTTGCCGTGCAGTTGAGGGGATATTGGTTGCATAAAAAACACCTTCTTACATTAGCTGTGCACTGACACGCTGCACATGGAATGACAGGCTATGTTATGGGGTTTTAATTCAATCTGTCCTTCTAGAGCCAAAATATTTAATGTCTACTGTATAAAAACCTACACAAAGGACTTAAACCATGTACCATCCTTGGTCTTTTTTGCAATGGAACAATGATTTCTACTTTTGAAAACGAACAAAGAAAACGAACAAAGAAACAGCTGCAGCAAGTACAACAAGAGGAATACAACATCAAAAGTTAATGGTTTCTCAGCCAGCTTTTACAGAACTGAGAAAGTAACTCCAGACGCTTGTAGGGGACGTACGTACCACTATATGGACATGTATGGAGAATGTCTTGCACACACAGAATTTTCAAGAGGCAGAAGGGCTCCTATAGATGACTAAAACAAAAGCCTTCTCCTGGGGTATAAAAAAGCCATTATCTAGATGTAAAGTAGTATCACACTCTTAAATGTGTGGGTACAACCCACTGGAAAATCGTGTGCTTGCTAACTGGGTTTAAAAGCAGACTGTGGCTCCACCACTTAAAGAAAAAACTAAGAATGTAAAAATTCACGACAACAAGGAACACTGGATCTCCCTCCTACAAAATATCTGAAATATTAGGCCAGCATCACTCTGTCCCAATACTCTTTCACACTTGTATATAATCCTTTTCCAGATGATGCTAAGCACACAGCCTTTCAGAGCTCAGACCAGAGTGAATGATGTGGCTGATTAATTGATGCTACAAGACTTACCTGCGTTGGGAAGTTGCTATGCTGGAAGCAAAAATGAAAGTTCACAGCAATCCAGGTTCTCCATGCATTAGCTCCTTGTGTGAACACTCCTGGAGCTCAAAAAGACACTTATCTATAGCTCTAGGTATTGCACTACAGAGATGAGGTTAGGAGACCGGGTGCTCTTGGCTCCCTCTTTTCTCTGAGAAGAAATGGGCACCTGCAAAAATGCAACACCCCACAGCCTGAATGTGTGTTTGGAGAAACTTCTCTGCATCTGCTCTCTGTAGGTGGACCATAGCAATACAGGAATCAGCACAGAACAGCTCTCAGTGACAACGCTCTGTTTCCTAGCACTTGGATGTCAAACTAGTGTCACGACATTATAGATTTAAGCACATCTGTGTGACTTGCCGTAGTAACAGCTAAGGACCACGCTAGTTTTCCCACTGCTGGTAAAGTAAGTTTTTACAAGACCTGGCAAATGGCAGGAATTCATGGGGGCTGATGGCTGCAGAAGTCAAGGAGGATCAATGGTTGGGACACTTTGAGTGGAAGACTACCCAAGGATCATTGGCTTGCACTGGCATCCCGTGTGGTGACTTACCAAAGGTCAGAATTCATGCCTGTCACATTTGTATGGGTAATGATGGAGATGATAGCAGCTCTTATCACAGCCACAGGCACGGCAGGAGGTGGAGAAATGCATTAAAATGCCTTCAGGCTCTGAAGTAGATAGAAATTATCTGAGTATCAAGCCAGAAGACTTTAGAAAGGAATTTACACCTAGCACAATTACAAAGTCAAGATACGTAACCATACCAAAACACTTTTTACCTGGTGGTAGGAATTTAGTCGAAACTCTTCAGTCGATAAATAAAGAAGTATTGCAGAGAATCTTCTCTTACGTGTGAGTGTCATAATCCAAGCCTGAGCTTTCTCCTCTGTGTCCTGCAGTATGGCAAGAAGAAGCTGAAGTACCTGCCTTACAACCACCAGCACGAGTACTTCTTCCTCAGTGAGTATCTGCCCTGCACTAGTCCTTTTTCCCTGAATGCCAGTTGACCTTTCCAGCCCCTACTGTGTTAGCAGAGCAACTCCTTAAGTCTCAACTCATCCTTCCCTTCCTCAGGACCACTATCTCCTGTACAGGTCCCAAAATCAGATTCTCAGTGATATCCAAGCATCTTGAACATTGCCAGCATGGTGGTGTAAAGCAAGGGAAACAACTGAGACTGGGAAATAACCTCTGTGTCAAAGGCTCCGTGGAAAAAAATGCATGTTGCCAGTCAATGCTCTTTAATAAGTGAAGCTGAGTTGGGGCAACCACCCCCCAACACCAGCACCTCACCTCTCTCACCAGTGCTAGGCAGACTTTCCCTTGAACCAGTCCTAGATCACTGGCTCACTCACGTCACACGTGGCCAAAAAATTTCCCTTTGCTTTGCAGTCTTCCCACCTCTGCTCATCCCTGTGTATTTCCAAATCCAAATCATCTCGACCATGATCAAGCGCAGGTTCTGGGCGGTGAGTGAAACGTTCCCTCAATCCTTATGGGGTCCGGCTGGCTCCTAAGAAATCACACTTGAGTAGGGAGGGAGGCCAGTGGGCAGGGATCGCACTTTGCTGTATTAATTATCCAGCATCCCTAACATCACCAGCAAAGTGATGCCTAACGTCTTCTCTCTTCCCCTAGGACCTAGCCTGGGCCATCAGCTACTACATGCGCTACTTCATCACATACGTCCCATTCTACGGCTTTCTGGGGTCACTGTCTCTCCTCACTTTCGTCAGGTAGGAGATAAAGGGCATCCCTGCTGCTCTCCCCTCCCTCCAGTGCCAGGTGAACCACGTCTCCGCTCTGCTGTGCCCCACAGGCCTTCCCTCTTTCGGTTCTCTGCAGTCATTGACCTCACTGCGTGTTAGCTTGGCTATTCCCACGCCTTCACTTCCCTCTTACCATCTCCCAGTTCTACCACCCCACAGCAGAGCTGGTTCTGGTGGTCAGCATCTTCTTGATGAAGAGTTGAGACTTACGAGACTTTCTCAGGGAGTTGGATCACCTTTATTTAGCGAAAGGCAAATGTAGCATGAGAGATAGGTCCACTTCTGAGGGAGAGGGACAGCCCAGTAGGACGTCCTGCTTGTATTTGATCATAATTGCATTAGTCCCAGAGGTATAAAGAAGGGAAGTTCATCACAGAAGCGATTTTCTCTGCTTTCACTTAAGTACCTCAGAGAAATACTTTCCTCACAGTTGCTTGTCCTGCTGCTCCCTGTAAACCCCACTCCGTTTACCTCACAGCCCGATCTGCAATATAAATTTTCATGCTTTCTGCCTGTTTGTTTTTGAAGGTTTCTGGAAAGTCACTGGTTTGTGTGGGTCACCCAGATGAATCACATTCCCATGGACATCAATTGTGAGAAGCACAGAGACTGGCTTAGCTCTCAGGTAACTGGGAGGGGAAAGAATACCCCTGACTTGCTCCAAAACGGATTAGAAATTTACTCAAAGAGTGGATGGGTTACCCCTATCCCCAGGTACTAGTATATGGGCTCTGTCCACGACCTCTCCCATAAAGATGTTCTCCCCAGAGCCAGCAATGCTGAGTCAAGACATGGAAGTCCAAACTTCTGTAATTAATTTGACAATCAAAAGGTTCCCTCAGATTTGAGGCAGTATCAGGTTCAAGACGCATGATTTGGGTTTCCTGTCTGCTGTATTTTGGCATCGACATATGAGCAAAGAGAAGAGCCTCAATGCAAATCAAAGCTCAGGAGTTTCTAAAGTTCCTATTTCAGCAATAAGCACTGGAATGAAAACCAGCTGCTTTCTACACCTTTTTTAAGGATACCTCCTATTTACAGTGGTCCAAGTCCTATTCAGACCTCAAGAGCAACCTTGACACTGGCCATATGTATTTGGTATAACTGAGCTGAGAGAAGTACTCATCTCACGTGTTAATTAGCATAAGCAGTGTTTGTAGTTTTTAATGGGGCCTTGAGGGTGAGCTTTCAATGTCTGACAGTCGATTTCTGTCCCTTGGCTAAAAACACTAAAGCACTAAAAAAATAAAGTGCTAAAAGCACTATTCAGGCAAGCACCTAAGCATTTGTTCTAAATTAAGCATGTGAATAGATTCACTGAAGTCATGGGAGTGTTCAGATATTCACCTTATGCTTTAGCTTAAGCACTTTACGCAACTGGAATCTGTAGATGGAGAAAGGTTGTGAGAGTGAGAGATTTGGGGAGGGGGATTATAAGAAAGAGAGATTGGGGGGACAGATAGCAACTGTGTGTATGATAGAGGCAGATAAGCCTCTTTGACACTGATGTGGTTTTATGATGCATCCTGGGGGGGTGAGGAGAGTGTATCTCCTATGGTTACTGTGTAGAAATCACCGCTTATCCAGTTCAGAATGTAAGAAGATTTCAAGAAAGACTACCCAATTTTACAGCCATTAATAGCAAAAGTAGATAAGAAATATTCCCAGAATATTGAGACCTTGCACTCCAGGCAAATTAGGCAATAACTGGATGAGATGGGGAGCGCGGGTCTTCTGTGTCCACGCATTTTTCCGCCCCCATTTTCCACCTCAGGACTGTAGTTAACCATCTGATCTTCCACGGGAGAGGCTGAGATTTAGGAGTCTATACTTGGACTGCTACCTGACTCGTCACCAAAAGTCCACAAACCGCCTCCTTACATTATCCCCTTTACCACCGGTCAAACCCGTGGCGATGTGGTCAGCACAACAGCTGACAGCAAGCCCTGAAGGAGGATTAAAGCTCCCCTTGCTGCAACCAGCTATCCCAGCACTCTGAGAGCTCAGCAGTGCCATAGGACTTGCATCAGCCCCTGCCACAGGCAAGAGGAGCTTCGTTCTTGATTTTAGGGTGGGACTTCACTACTCTTCACAGCTGCTTTCTTGCCGTCACAGGTGGCAGCCACTTGCAATGTCGAGCAGTCCTTTTTCAATGACTGGTTCACCGGGCACCTGAATTTTCAAATCGAGCACCAGTGAGTATGGACCCGCAATCATTTGGCCATCATCAGGTTGTCAGAACACTGGATTTGAGGGGCGGGAATGGACACGGGTGGGATGGGGCAGAATCTCTGGAGCACCACCGTACGCTGAGGAAAGAGAGTCCCAGATTACTGGGGGTCATAGTCTCCTACAGGGATGGCATCGTTCTGTCTTGCTACCAAATATTTCAGCTTTCACTCTCACAATTTTAATTTGGGGTTTAATTAGGAGGTAGCAGTACGAATCTGCCAGTTACAATGTCTACGGACTCAAATCCTACGCTAACTACTTGAACTTGGGTATCTATTTCAGAAATTTCCTCTCCCCTCAAGCACTTCAGTGTTTCATAGCATGTGACAGCTGTGTGGGACCGTGTACGCTCCTGGGTACCAGGTTCCAGGAAAGATGCTAAAACCAGGGCCATATGGACAGTCTGTTCCCTGTGACAACACCAAATGTAAAAGAGCTTTTAGGGTCAAGCTGACTGGTTTGGAAGTCAGCTTAGGAAATCTCCATTGAAGAGCACAGGGCAAGGTGATCCCAAATCGTTCCTTACCTGCTTCTCTGTTCCATGAGCTTCCAGAGGTGGGAAAGGGGGTCACAGGGAATTCAATTCAGCAAGAAACAATTAGTATTGCCCGAAGGCAATGGGCAGCCACCTCAGCGGACTGAGACTGTTTCCTCACTCCTGCTTCCCTCACGTGGCACTTGTAGTGTCCTCTCTTGCATGAATGGGCTCTCGTTGTCCTTCCTGAACACAGCTTTGATTTGAGGCATGGCAGAGAGGCAGGAGAATCGATGCATTTGGTTTTCACAAGCCTCCTTGAAACAGAGGACTGTAAAGCATGGATCTCTCTCTCTCTTTTGTCTGCTTGTGCAGCTTGAGGAGAAGGCTTTAATAATTAGCCCCTATGAGGAGGGAGATAGAGGTGCCCATCCCTTGGGGTTAGTCTCTTGAGTTTTCTCAGGTTTGTTTTCTCTTTCTCCATTCAAGCCTGTTTCCAACAATGCCACGGCACAATTTCTGGAAGGTGAAACCTTTGGTGAAGTCATTATGTGCCAAGTACGGAGTCCAATACGAAGAGAAGCCTCTTGGAAAAGCATTCGTAGACATCATTGGGTAAAGTCCTTCTAGTATCATCTGCAGCATTCATTGTGACATTGACCACCCCACATTTTCCTGTACAGAGAACTCAGGTCACTATAGACCCTTCAGAACTACCACGTCAATATGTTGTCATCAGGTTAATGATCTTCGGATCGCAGCAATGCTGACCCACAGCAGCAATAACAGAGCTCCACTAGTAACGCCAGGTGACAGCAGATGGGAAGCTGCTTCCCTGCATCACGGGGGAAGAAGCAACTGTGCCCCAGAGCAGCTTCCACAACCAGAGCACTGGCTATCAAAGCGTGTAGATGGGTACTGGCCTGATCTCATAGGGACCTTTTGAATAATACCCTTTTTAAACGCCATTCTGTCAGCTGTTGCCTCTTGCTTTCGGGAGCTGGCAGCGTATCTTCAGGCTGTGAAGTGGGATGAATCAAAGGGGACCGAGTCAGGTTACAGCCCAGGCTCTTTCCCATTTGAGCCCTGCCAGCAGCAAAGTGCTATTCCCCACAGATATAGTTGAAGCCTGCTCTAACAGCCCTTGCCAGGCAGACTCTGGGTTAACGTTTCTGTCTCAGTTACTCCAAGGGGAATAATTGATGACAGGGAACATGAGAAGGCATTCTGCAGGCCGGGGATCTCCACTCACAAACCATTCTAAGCAAATGCAAAGTAAAGCAGATTGGCCCCACCATGCAGAAGGGCTGCAAACTGTTTCAAAACCTCCTTTGGTCATCTTAGCCAGTTAGCACAGGAAAATACCTGCAACACTGAGACCCAGGGCGGGTGGTGCCCAGCATCCCACCATACAGAGCCCATGTCCCTACATGAGTTCTCAGAAACCACCTCAGCAATTGCTTGCCCTCCCAACAGAAGGATCTCCCATTTCCAGCCTCCAGCCTGCTTTCTGTTTGTCAGAGGGCTTTGGGGCCCAACCCAGCTCAGATCTGCCCCGTAATATTGGCGGAGCTGATGCAGATGGGAAATTCTGCGTGAGAATGCCTGGGGGGGAAGTGGGGAAACGCCTTCAGAGGTGCAACGCGGTGAGCCCAAGCAATTCTGCTCTGCTGTTCATTCAGGGCCAGAGGGACTACAGTGAGGTTCTTGCTCACTCTGACTCTTCTTGTATATCGGCCATACTGGGGAAGGACATTTGGTGTCCTAAGGATTCCTATTCAAGTTCAGTAACAAGCTTCTTTGTAGGAAAAAAAATGGCAAGAGGCAAGATTCACATGCCAAACTAACTTCTCTTCGTTTTCTTTCCACAGGGCCCTCAAGGAATCTGGAGATCTATGGCTGGATGCTTACCTCCATAAATGAACATGCATCTTAATGGGGAGGTGTGAGTGACCGGGAGGGATGGGGGGGTGTGCGGGGGGGGAAAATCACACATGTGTCTTTTACTCTCAGATTTCAGTCTGTATCTACCTGCATGGTTGGAGGGGAGTTTTCTGTCTTGTCAACTGCTCCTGGTGCGGGCTCAGGCAACCTGTTTAACCCAGACAGATTTAAAATGTTCTTCAGAGGATGAAAAGCGATGCCAGTATTGCACAAAACAGAAGGTTGGGAGAGGATGGAGAGGAGTGTTTAAAAAAGGGACATGAATAGCCAGCCTTGACTTTCTCTTCACGAGATTCACTCTAATTCTACCCAAACCACGCAAGCCCCTGGTTCACAGACACGCAAGAGTTGTTAGGCTCCAGTGAGTGTTTGCCATCCAAGGACAGCCCAGTTGGTTTACGCCTCTTTCCCATGTTTGAGCTCAGCTCACGGTTTCATTTTGTTATCAAGGGAAAAATAACGTGGCTCGTGATGCCCATCGCAGCAGGGAGCTCAGGGGGGCTGCGACGCCCGTCGGCCCTGCCTGCAGGAATCGCACCCCACGGGGACCGGCAGCCGTGATGGGTCTTTCAGCCCTGCCCAGAGCCCCGCTGTCTCGGGCTCCTTCCTTTCTCTCCCTCCTTTCTCTCTCTAATCATAGCATCACTTTAGTAAAAGCTGTGATACTGACCCTGCACAACTAATGTCTAACCACCTCCCAAGAGGGTTAACCTAGCTGTGTTTTTCTGACCAGGCTCTGTGGAAGATCTTTGGGCTTATACAGCAAAATGTCTCCTTTAGGAGAGGGTCTGTCTTCTCTTTAATGAGCAACAGGTCTGGCGTAGCGTTATGGTTGTCAGTAACTTACACAAAAGACCAAAATGAGTCACATAAGCAAAACTTCCTAATTGCCAGTAAGTGCTCCAGTGGATCCACAAACGGTCTTTTCACCAGGGCAGTTAGGCAGTGTGCGGCAGAAACACACGGTTCTGCCTGTCTGCACAGGCCTGGCAGAAATCAAGCTCATTTCTGCTTGTCAGAGGCCAGGAGCAACGGCACTGTTTACCCTCTCTGGGGAATAATCAGCAAAGAAAAGGAGTTCTCCCTGCAAGAGGAGGAGCTGCCCAGCTATTCGACCTGGTCCTTTGGGAAGGCAGCTGAAAACAGGATTGACCAGGCTGTGCTGGTGATACGAAACCTTCTGGAGAACACAAAGTTGCCTAAAACTCTTTATTTTTATGCCCAACACTTAATTACCAAAATCCATTAACGGCTAACCAGGAGATATGGTTGAACAGCTTCCAGGTGCTTCCCTAACAGGCAACCGGATCCCAAATAAATCAGGGGCTTTAGATTCAGTTGTGATACAACAGAAGAGATGGACCTTTAGCTGGTGGTGACAGGCCAAAAGCAGCCTCCAGTTCCAACGGCTGTCTCATTCCTCACTCAAAACACACAATAGGGGATACTCCAGTTATTAGGCAATGACTTTGCACGCCTCGTTATTTGCTCAGCTCTGAAACCTGATCTTCTCTATCGAATCCTTGTGTGCTAACGCAGTCCCACAAAATCAGCAAGGTGCTTCATGAATAGAGACAACTCCAGGACTGTGGCCAGCCACTTCAACAAACAAATGTATTCCCCACCCCCCTTTGGAGAATCAAATGAGATTATATCTTTGCTTACCGATGGGAAATTCATAGGCAGGACTGCAACATCAACTAGCTAGTAACACTTAAGGTTTGTAAAGAGCTTCTTCTGGTGTTCTTGCCCACCCCTAAGCTGGCAACGCCTGAGTATCACTAGGAACAGTTAGGATGAAAAGCTACTGGCTCTGAGGTGTCTGAAGCTCAAACAGACTTTAAGCACATTTTATAGTTGATTTCTAAGAGCATAAACAATAACGTCCTTCTGGATGCTGTAATGTCCCAGGCAGGTGGTGACGGGCTAGCCTGGGATTGTGGCGAGCGTTGTTAAGACTGCCTTAATATCCGCATCTCTCTCTGACTCCTTGAACGTATCTCACTGTCTCTGCTCCAGCCAGGATGAGCACAAGCACACAGCAGCATTGGCAGTGCAAGCTTTTAAATACTCAGCTTGTTTTTCTGACCGTTTCTATTTTTTCACCCCTCCGGTACTTATTCCCAGAGCAAATATTTTCTCAATACAGACGCCTCTTACTCCTTAGCGCTGTCCCCTCTTCTCTCTCTTACCTTTCTTCTGGGGAAACTGTTTGCTTCCTGACACCTGGAGGAACTGCAGAAGACTGGTAGCTCAGCCTAGGTCAATAATCCTGCTTCAGCACCTTGGCTTCCTTGTTGCCCCTGTGCAGTCTCCTGGAAGGACAGTTTTTCTGCTGAAACCCCAAAGTACTGCCAACACGACAGCCTGGCCCAACAGTGCCTGGGAGACAGCAGCTACTACTGATGATGGCTGAAAAAACTGGAAACGTCCAAGGACAGCGACCATGCAGCCACGACCTGCAGAAGGAAAGACCAGCTCTTAGGCAAACGGGCAACTTTTTTTCCCCCCCAAGACCTTAGCACAAGATACCAAAGGGAAGAAGAGAGGGAACAGCAGAGAGAGCTTGTTATTAACTCTTCCCCAGCTACTTGCTTCTTTCAGACTCTCAAAAATTTCCCTTTTCATAAAAAATGATCGGTTGCTCAAATCCAGAAATAAAAACCGTGCAATGTTATAGTCAGAACTTACTGCCAAGCGTCATGCATTGTCCTGGCTATTGCAAGAGAAAAAGGTCTGTTCTGCAAAGAACAGGTCACCAGCCCTTGTAACTAGCTGTGAATTTCCCTTATTCATTGTGCAAAAAGTTTGCCCGGTGAAACTGTAGGATGCTGGTTACTTTTTCAGGCAAAGCCTCTCTGGCTCATACAGTTTCTTCCCTTCCCTCCAAAAAATCCCAGCCCTCTATCTTGGAATTCAAGCTGTTTCGTACGAGCCTTGATGGATAAGTTCTCCATCCTTTAACTGGAGCAGGTCAAACAGATCCCTGACAAAGAGCACTGAAATTGTGGAGCGATCTGCTTTGTTATAATTTTAAGTAGCACCAAAGCATAATCGGGTTTACAGGCGACGTTCCAGAAGTTTCAGTAAAACTGCAAACAGGTGGATATAAAGTTCATGTGACCTTGCTTGGCTTTGTCTCCAACCTGGGAAAAATGCAGCTATCAATCACAGCAGTGTGTCCCTTTGCAGGTTACAATTAGCCATCAAAACGGTTCAAACATAGAAATTTAAAGTACAGTTTTGCCCAGCTTTCTGAGGACCATAACTAACGAGGTTCTCTGAAAATAATGAGGTGAAATCCTGTACACATTCTCTCTTGATAAAGGTCATTCACTTACACTGTAATGAGACACAAAAATCTGTAAAACACGCTGGGAGCCTGCCAGGGTTTATTTAACCCAGCTAAGCCACACCACTGGCTACATGAGCACTTGGCAACGGGGAGAGGCCACGAGTTGGAAACACAGAGTTTGTTTCAGAGCAGATAATAAAACAATAGGCAGGAAAGGTCCGGCTCTGCTTCGCTTCAGTCTCTTGTTAGCGAGGACTGGAGCAGAAGCTGGAGGACCAGGATGGTCGAACACAGTTGTCAGGGAAAGGGATTAAGTGAAGCAAGTGCAACAAAGGCAGGAGAAGCCTCTGGGCAGGAGAGAGATGGGCATGTGTTTGGGGAGGAGAAGTACAGAGATGGGAGAACTGTAGGAAGGGAACAGGCTGGGGAGGGATGCGTGGCAGAGCGGGAGAAAAAAATACCAAGGGGGTGGAGAGAGAAGAAAAAGCAACTTGAAATCAGGTGTCCCGTATTCTCCCGTTCATCTGCCCGGACAACAGCTTATGCTGGAGACACGAGGCCAGAAAGGGCTCAAGGGAGACGGCAGAAGCTGGCAACGCCACCAGACATCTCGTGGCGAGCTGGATCTCGCACTACGCTCGCCCTCCCCCAGCTCTGAGAGCAGGGACAGCAGAGGGGGGACACACACGGCGCCTTCGGCTGCGCGTTGCAGTCCCCTGCAAGGCACGGGCTTCTCCCGCGCGCCGGCTAAAGTAGGTTAAAGCCGTAGCCTAGACCTTCAGCGACAAAAATTAACTCCACTGAAGGCCATGGGGCTGTGCCAGCTTCGTGAACTCACATGAAATCCAGCCAGGCAGAGGGACAGTGGGAATTAGGGGACTTGCATTGAGATTTTTTTGCTTTAAGCGTGGATTTGAGGAGTCTAAGTTCCCAACTGCGCACTGGAACAGGGCTTGGGAGGCTCAGAGCGCCAGCAGAGCCTCCTCAGGACATATCTTCAGGCACCACTGCTCCTTGCTACAGGGGCTGATCACACTGGCTGGATTTTACATCTTCATTAGGGCAAAGACATCCTTTTCTTTCTGTAACAAGCTGCCATGGCCTAGCCATGGCCTTTTCTAGTAGATGCTTTCCGAAGAAAGCCTTCCTAACAAAGCCCTAACATTTCAAATGTTTTCTAGGAGTTGTAAAACAACAAAACCACATTCCTTATAGGACAGCTCCTGATTATTTCATTCTTAAAAAAATAACTCAAAAAGACCAATTTTTTTGTTGTGTATTCTACCACTCAATAAAATCATAACTATTTGTTGACCGTAAAAATGCTTTATGTGTTTTTTCCGGTGACATCCAGAGCCACTGCAGCGCCCAAAGAATCTGTTTCCTCTTGGAGCACCTTCTGCAATACAAACCCACTAGCAGGTTGCATGGAGAAGCCAAATAATCTAGCAAGGACATTTGTAGGGCGTGAATATCACCATCCAGGTCTGGCTCTGAGATCACGAACCTATGTTCAAACTCATAATTCTTAAAGGGTCAGGGTAGGATTTGGCATAAAGAGTGATTCAAGTCTGAATTTCAGCTTTAGTCTTGCAATTGCTGTTCTTACCCGTTCAAAATCAGATCCCAGACCAAGAACTACAAGAACACTGGGGAAGCAAACTCCAGAACGGGATTTGGGATCAGACTTGCTGATTATAGCTTCCCTTGCTTTTCCTAACTATGTTTTTTTTATAGAGGAGCTGTTAGCTAGTGATTGTGGAAAGTCCTTTTTCCACTTCATAGGGTGAAATTAGTGAAATTACTTTTAGAGCATTGACTTTTATAGCACGGATATAGATTATCAGCCTTCACACAGCCCAGGAGCAATGGTGCTGGTTGCCCTCATCTTGGGAACAAGCATCAGGGGAAAAAAAAAAAAAAAAAGATCTTCCTG